CTATAATAATATATAACTCCTAAATGGCTATACTATTAACAATAAATTCCATATTGCATTCTATTAATTAAATATTATTATCACAAGAATATTAATTTGAAAAATTATTCTAGCCTTACTGACAATAAAAAAATTCTAATTTATTTTTTTTATCTTATTTTCAAATCAATTAAAAGAATACATTAATAAATTAGGTTGACTTATCTAAGAGTATTCTATAATTTCCACTTTCCTTAAATATTGGATTCTCCTAAGCAAACTTAATTTGAATAGAAGATTAGATGATGTCTTAATCTACATAGCTTTTTTGAACTATCTGAATTAATTTATATGTTAAAGATTTAAAGGCCGTAAATGTTTTGGATATCCAGATTCGCTAATGAACATTTTTACTATATAAAACATCTCCTGGTAATTCATATATTTTATAAATTAATTTTCCAAGATCACTTGTTTCATCTTGAGATTGAATAATTTGTATAGCATCATTTGGTGTTAAATTAAAACCTAAGAAAGGACTAATAAAAAATTTATCTGGCTGTTTAGGAAAAGCTATTTATACATCCTAAATAGCGCTATATTTGCCTAAATTAACAAAGGCATCATACACCCAAAATGATTTAATAGCCTATTTGCTTCAAACTATCAGTCTTTGATATTCCTACAGTAACATTGAAAGGAGTTATTTCAATTATCTCAAATATACATAAAAATACATCAATGTTAAAACTTACGGAGGATATGTAATAAAAACTTGTTAAAGTTAGAAATCCATTCAAAGCATTGAGATTATTATGATTAAATGTTTCATTTTTTGGATCGTCTCTATTATAACAATCAATAACTTATATTATTTGATCATCAATCGCATACCATTTAATATTTACTTATTTAATATTTTGCAGACAACCTTAATAAATTGTAAAGCCTAAATTTTTAATTAATGGATAACTTTTTGTTGTAATAGAACCAATTTCAAATCGAAAATTAATTCCATTTCTTAGAGAATACATCTCGGATTGAGTAATAATAATTTGTGGAGTTTACTCAAATTATTTTGGAAAATTAATTTAGACAGATGATTTTTAGCAATCCAAAATTTAGACTCCAAATTAATATTCACTCAATGAATTTGCTTTTTAAATCAATAGATACAAAATTAACATTTTTTTTGTTAATAATAATAATTTTTTTATTAATATATTTCATATATGATAGCATTTAAAGTGTATCCAAAAAATTAAAAAAGACTTCAACTCCTCCAAATAACACTGATCCTCCACACATTGCTCCAATTAAGTAAAGCATGTAGGTATTACTCGTGGTTGTTATTTGCACTTGAGCAATGGTGATATCGTCTATGTATGTTACTTTTGGTATAAGACAAGAGACTTCCGTTTCAATCTGGGAGTATCCTTCATTTGAATAAATGACTGATGGATTTAAGAATTTGATCAAAAGTATTTGACCTTCTGAACTTCTATTGAAAGTGATATTTATCTTCAAATTTAATTCAGATTAATTAAATTTGTTAATCTATAAAGTATCTTGAGTTAATTAATAGGACTGATCAATTAATTAAATACCATTACTGCTTGAGAAATGTAAGGATAGATAATCTTTAATTTGAAAGCCATCACTTATAACAATCGGAGTGGTATAAGATAATTCAAACAATCTGATACCAGAATAGATTTAAGAAATACCTACGCTCTTTAATAATGGTTTTGGATAACTTGGTAAGATACTTACACCATTCAAAAATATATAATTTTTTTCTAGCTTACATTGATCATCACATCACATCCATCACCTTTAACAAAATTCCCATCATCGCATTCCTCTTCCTTTATTCTAATCTAATCTCCACATTTATTTAAGCAAGTTCCATTTATTCATCTGCAATATATCCTGACTCACAAACTGAACATTAATGATTAGTTTATGAAAGAAACTTGCAACTTATACAATTATAAGCTTAATCAATACACTACAAACAATTTATTGAACATTCAACACAATAATTTTTATCTAAGAAATATCCATTTTAACATTTAATACGTTAAGATTTATTTGTGTATGAATTCAGTTGGCATTAAATGCAATTAGCTGAACATTGAAAACAAATTGATTATTTTAGTATTTTATTAGAACAAGAGTAATTCTAATCAATCTTACAATTAGAACAACCATCTCTATTTATATCATTTCCATCATCACATTCTTCTCCATATGTCCAAACTTTATCTTCACAATCTTAATATTTACAAGTTTCTTAAGATTTACCTAATTAAACCAAACATGAAATACAAATTTCATTGTCACCTTCAAAATGGTTGTAAGTACACACACATTTGTTATTATTTAAAATTCGATTTAATCTTTATTCACAACTCAGACAATTAAATTAATTGTTGATACAAGTTAAGCATGTTTAATCACATTTAGAACAACTATTTTAATTCCAGAAATAACCTGGACTGCACATACATTAAAAATTCAAATCTAAGTGTAAATTAGATAACAGCTCACATTACTAACATATGGTTTAACTTAAACATGTTTTACATGGATATTCACATCTATAACATTGATTTTATTCTTCATAATATCCAATTTTACATATACATTAGTTATTAGGATTTATTTCATAATTGGATCTACAAGTTATACATTTTTGGATAATTCATTACAAGTTAGACAATTTTGATTGCATGGTTCACATTTCTAATCCAGCATAAAATATCCATTAAAGCACATATCACAAATTAATGAATTGCCACATATTTTACAAGAAGGAACACATGCTTCACAATATGTTGATTAATTTATAAAGTATCCTACCTAACAAACTTAGCAATCAATTTGATTTTAGCAAATATTGCAATTGCTAATACATTATAGACATTTATTAGCCACAGAAAGATAAAATCCTTTTACACAATTACTACAATTATCTATTCCTTAACAATCTATGCAATTTTTATCACAACAATGATCTCCCTTCTATATAAACCCTACTTTACATAAACATTTATAATCTTTGATTATTTAATTAGGATCTAAGCATGTTAGGCATTCATTAACAGTATTGGTACAAGTAGCACATGGATTTTGACATTAAAGACATAGGTTATTTTGTTAGAGATATCCAGGTTTGCAAATACACTACTTATTGGAATCTAGGATTTGATTTATATCTATGCAATTGATCCATTTGTATCACATTCAAAATAAGGTAATTCACACTTTAAACATGTTGTTAAAGTATTAGAATAAAAAGTTGATTTGCAAACACATTACTATATGTTATTGAGTTCATGATGAGGATCTGAAGAAGTCAAGCACTTAGACGTAGATATCTCACAAGTTTTACATGGTTCTTTGCAAGGTATGCATAAGTAATTATCATCAAATATCCATCCAGATAGGCATTTACAAGATTCAGGTTATTAATATGCTTGATGTTTCTATACAACTAATACATTGTTGTTAGCATTAGATACATGTAATGCCGTCAGTATTAAAAATCCAACCTGTTTTACATTCACATATATGAAAATTATTTACTATTTTATTACTATCAACGCATGATAAACAGTGATTCTAAATTGATTCACAAGTTTAACATGGACTTTAACATTATTAACATGTTTGAGAATCAACCGCAAAATAGCCATATTAACATTCGCATTGATATTAGGTATCCTATTTTAATGTAAAAGTAGATATGCATTAAGTGCAATCATTTGGATTATTTTCACACTTTGAACATGGTGATGTACAAGGCTAACATTAATTTGATCCATCACTATAATAACCATCCTTAAAAACACATTAAAAATTAATAGCATTTTTATTACTATCAATGCATGCTGTACAATAATTTGAATTATTGACACAAGCAGAACATGGTGTCGAACAAGGAAAGCATTCTGAACTCGAAAGATATTTGTCAACATCACATGATAACAAGTGCTACTAGAACCTGAACATGTCTTGCAAGAAATATCGCAAACTGAGCAAGTAGTTCCAATTAAATTATATGGATCCACGCAAGTTTCACATACAGTGCTAGATGTACAAGTAGCACACTAACTAGGACAAGCTTAACGATTTGAGCCTGATATATAAAACTTTAGAAGACAATTTGAGCAGTTACTCGAATTGCTACAAATATCACATCCATTAGAACAAGCTCCACACTTATAAGTAGCAACACCTAAAATAGTTTAAGAATATCGATAAAGTTTTGGTTGGCATTAGTCACAAGTTACACTATTTGGACAAATTAAGCAACCAGATGAACAATTACTCACATTTAAACATTTGCCCATAAACTAATAATATCCTGGATTGCAACTCCAAATTACTAAAATAGTAATATAAATATTCCTTACAGATAATCTTGATTAGAATAATGTAGATTCTAAATAAGTAGTTAGACATAAAAAATAAATAATATATGATAAAATTGATGATGCAATTAGGATTTCATTAATTTATTTATGAAAAATAATTACAAATAATTAATCGCTTTTATCTTTTTATATAATATTGGTAAATAATAAAACACAAATAATTTTCCAAAATAACCTGATAGTTCTTTAAGAATTTGCAAAATAAAAGCGCCCAAAATTGTAATATTTATTAAATACAAGTAATGTGAGTAATAGAGATTAATAATGATTAAAAATTATTTTTCACACTTTATTTAAAACTTTTTATTCAATATTATTAATTA